GGTGTTGACATAAGAGACCCGTATGCGCAAGTTGGAGAGTTGCTGAACAAGGTGGACAGAGTGCAGCGGTTAGAGCAACGAGAAACAAACATACCACTTGGCATTACACAAAAACATTTAGCTTTCACGGTCAAGAGTATGAAGAGCCAATATTCCAGGCATTCCACAATTGTGGTACATTCGAGATTCCACTTGAAGACAAAAAGCAATATTCCAAATTACATATAGTACCGGTATTTGAGTTTGCTACTGTCAATTTCAACAGTAGAGTTAAATTGACTCAGCCTCAAAGTTTGAAATTCAATATTTCTAATGCTTCCATACCGTATGCATTTTATACGTATGCACATGAGCATTTGTGATGCGATCAAGCTACATGAGTCGTTTGTCGACCCTGGTCATTTTTTTAATTTACAGATTTGAAAAGAGCACAAACTCAACATTACTGCTGTGGAAACCGCATGCTGGTACCATATTTAGTACAAAAATTATGGAAGTCGGAACACCAAGAGATGTGAAGAAGTGATGTGATTATGAAGTGGCCCTATTTTGGCCTGAATCTCTTAATGAAAGTTCCCAACAAACAACCCATTTAGCTTGATCGCATCACATTTACATGCTGGTGTACAAGTATATTGCTGCATGATTAAAAAAAAGAGCAAATCTAAGCTAATGAGGGAGAAAGTCAATTGTTACATTCCAATGCAAATCAGAAGCAACATCTGCAGTGCATGCAATTTTAGCTACCACCATGTAGGTACATCTTGCCCTCAATTACAGGTGTAAAAATTTGTTGAACCCTCCTATGCAAACCTCATTCTGTGCAAAGTTGTCCTTTCAGTCAAAATCAATCAAGTGACTGTTGTTAACATTAAGAACTCCAAGCCTACATGGCTGTGACTGTTTATGTAATTTGATAAGCTATACTTTGACTGTAGGCGATTGATAAGCCAACTGTGCCTACCACTTGCCTGGTTTAGTCTGTTAACTGAATTTAACTAGTCACAGTACATGTACTTGCTTGAAATATGATGTGACTGTTGGTGACTACCCTGTGTGAAAGGCATGGCAGGGGTAAGGATTGATTATTTGACTGTCTGTGACTGTTCAGATAGCAGGAGGCTTAAGCATCATGCGCTGTCAACATGGGCGTCGCCAGGATTTTTTGTAGAGGGGGGCAAAAATTTTTTTAGCCAAAAAATGCTTGTATTTCTCAACACATTCTCGATTTATCAGTTTTAGAGGGGGGCAGGGACATTTTGCCCCCCCCCCCTCATTAAATTAACACCACTTTGTCTTCGCGCCTCTTTTTTTTTTCTTTTTTCTTTTCTTCCTTTTTTTTTTTTTTTGGTTGCTTTTCCAGGGGGGGGGGGGGGGGGGGCAAGTGCCCCCCTTGCCCCCCCCTCGCTACGCCCATGGCTGTCAATAGTTGTACACGTATGATTTCTTCGCCAAGTTTGAAGAAAAAAAAACCCAACTGTTTGTTAAGTCTGGCATTTTTTCCCATGGGCATGTGTAGGACCATGCACAGTCTACTTTTATGCAAGAAATTGCAGACAGATTTTGGGGATTGAGCTGAAAGTACAACATTCAACAGAATTATTTAAGTCCGCTTGTTTCTATCCAGTCCCAGTCTCGTTACTGCCTTCGCAGTTCTGGTGATGGTATTTTTCTGAACTATCCTGTAGGTTGCAGTAAGGCTACTCTTGGGGATCGAGCCTTTGAGAATAGTGCACCACACCTTTGGAACAAACTTCCACTTAATGTTAGGAACGCTGCTAGCCTTGGTGTTTTAAATCAGTGCTGAAGACTCACCTTTTTAAACAAGCTTTTTATTAACCTTAACAGTCATGAATCCTCCAATTTCAATACGATTTTGCACACCCCCTAGGGAGTTAGGGTTGTGTGTGTGTTATTGATATTTATTGATAATTTAACGATTTTTACTGTCAAGATGTTTAAGCCTTTTTTATTGATTATTTTAATTTTATACATATTCTTGAAAGGGGAGTTCTGGAAGGGTTATGTCATATCATCTGTAAAATTCTCGAGCTTTTTATCGATTATCTTGTAATATTTTTTTTTATAATTTACTAGATCAATTGTTTATATTCTAGCTGTTATGCACATGTATATGTAAACAGGGTGAGTCAAAAAAAGCGAAACCCAAATGTCCGGACCATTAATTTAGTGAAGTTCTGCATGTATATGCAGAACTTCACTAAAATAATTTCAAATCCAGGATATGAAAGCCCAATTCAAAAGCTTTCTTTTAGTACAAGAATCATTCAAATCAGTCCTGTGATTTTCAAGTTATGGGATTTTAAACAAGACCACCATTTTAAAGTTCTATCAACGGATCACAAAAAGGTAAGCGTTCTTTCAGCAAAACAAAAACAAATCACAAATCACTTTTTTGGTGATCTGTGGACAGAACTTTAAAACGGTGGTTGTGTTTAAAATTCCGTAACTTGCTGCATACATTAGTGATTTGAATGATTCTTGTACTAGAAGAAAGCTTATGAATTGGGCTTTCATATCCTTGATTTGGAGAGTACTACATGCAGAACTTCACTTAAACAATAGTCCCGACATTTGGGTTTCGGGTTTTTTTTACTCACCCTGTACATGTTGAGCCAAGACCTGATGTACACCTTTAACCAGATCCAACATTGAATAAAAACAGTGAAAACGTTTGTAAACAGGAATAGTCCAAAAAGCTTTCCTGTTATTGTTTGAATCGCTGCAGTCTGCTTTCTCCTTGCTCCAGAATAAACACCCGACAAACGGGTTATGCTATCATGTTTGATACACAAAGGAGCCCTTGATACTTTAATTCCGCGTCAAAAAATCGCATCTTGTCGCTCCTGCCAGCAGGTGTGTTAATATGAACAAGCTAAGTTACCATGAGCCGAGGGGGAGATCTCTAATAAGGGAGCCAGAATTGAATCAGTGTCTGGAAACTGGTGTAGCCAAACGGTTCTGGAATGACTGTTTACTCTTACATTTAGGCTCTGGTTCTTTGTGCTTTTGGTCAGGGGCAGAACTTGTGGGGCAAGCTAGAGCAAATTACTCCTACTATATTGGGCTTAATTTGACATTTGTTCAGGTATTGCCTGTGGTGTTACAATGCAGATTGCTGGCGCTGAAAATCTCACATGCAAGTTGTGCCCTGTGGTATGATGCACAAACAGAGCAAAAGAGTGGTGCATTGAGACTTAACAACATGGCTAAGGTTGAGAAATGTAGGCTATGAACCGATGACCTGGTTGCAAGCCTACTTAACTGGAGTATGGGATTATATGCCTTAACCCTCCTACTATTTAAACAGTCACAGAAAGTCAAAATTCACTTCCACTTCTCCTGCTATACATGTACTTTAAACAAAGGCTAGTCACCATCAGTCAGATCATGTCAAGCAAGCACTGTTACTAGTCAATCTGGGTCAACAGACAAAGCAGGCAAGTTGTGGTCACAGCTGTTTTATCACTCACTCAGAGTCAAAGCATAGCTGTATCAAGTTACTTAAACAGTCCCATCCACTCCATCTTGCCGTATGTAGGCTGGGAATTCTTAACTATTGAAAACAGTCACTTGTTTAATTCGATGGCAAGAACATCTTGGCACAGAATGTATGTTTGCATAGGAGGGTTAAGACACAATGAAGCAATGCACTATCGTGTTTGTGCAGTTATACTGGTTAATAGTCTCTAGCAAGCCGATATGCATTCCAGCATTGGCAAACTTACACTTATTGCTGACTTCAGAATGCAAACCATCAGATCTTATTTAACTGGTAACAGTTATCTTCTTTGTGTTTGTTCATTTATAGTCCTGCGCAAAAATGGCTGCGTTAATTTCCCAAATTCAGATACGGGGTCAAGAATAGTGGTGGGAGAAATCAGAGATTTCAAAATCCGTTTATCTTATTTTTTTCATACTGAATAACGGTTATCGAATTTCACCAGAAGTTCTCATTCAGCACACAGCCATGCCAACAAAATGTTATGCCAACAAACCAAATTTCAAGTTCCTTAGTGAAGTATTTCTCAAGTTACCACGCTGACAAAAGTTAACCTAAGCAAAACATAACACACACACACACACACCCAGTCGTTTTTTGCTATGCTTCCGAGGATTGGCTTTGTGTTTTCCTTTGTCCCTGTAATATAACACTCTCCCATAGACTAAGCACACAAACCTGCGTTCGAGGACAATAGGCACCTTCCTTCGAGGATCAATGGCCCCTTTGTGCTCCTTTTGTTGTCTGTCCTCAGGCGTAATGCCATGCAGGAACACACACACACCCAAACATGTGTTCATCGTCCATCGTGGACGTCCTATTGTCCCTCTTTTGTTTGTACTTTTTAGCAAGACTCCCATAGGTTTTGTACACGACCCCAATCGCGGACGTTTGCTGGGAATCGTGGACGATATTGTTCTATTTGTTCTCTGGTACTTTTTGTCCATGGTTTGAAAAGATGAACATGTACACAACTTTACTTAGCATTTGGGGTTATGGGGTACCACTACTGTTCGACCCTAATTACCTTCTTTTGTTCTCCTTTGTCCCCTTAGAAATCTCCAAATACATAGCGTTAGGGCTATGGAGTACTTCAATTTCTAAAGACAGACTTGCGGGTACCATTGTCCCTATTGTTGCCTTTTGTTCCCGGTACCCCATAGGTGCCAATATGTAAGTGCGTGTTTATAGTGTAAATCTAGGACACACACGTGCAACATCATCAGTGAATCGAGGACAGGAACCAAATCGAGGACGACCTCGATTAGAAAACGTGTACAAAACCAATGAGAGCTGTTGCGAAAAAGTTAAAGTACAAACAAAGGAAAGGGAAGAGGAACAAAAGAAGATCCTAAAAACAAACGTGTATGAGCATGGAAGTGTGTATTTGCCTGCAATCGGGGACCCCCTATTGTCCCTCTTTTGTTTACACAAAATGTTAATCCCACCACTAGTCAAGAACAGCTCGTCCACTCACCTTGGTCCAGGATAAATGCCACGTTACTCTGGGCAACTTCGTAGCCGAGCTCGGCTGCAAACGAGTACTGCATGAGTGCTGAGTGGACATCGTGGTCCTTGTAAGAGTCATGGGCCTCCATCAGCATCTCAGACCATTTGCCCCTCTCTGCAACATTCTTGAATAACTGTTGGAAAAAATGAAGAAAAAAAAATGTCAGAGTTCAACTCAGTGCAATCATATCGTTTCACACACACTGCAGTGGCCCACGTGAACACAGTGTTTTGCTATGGCAGCTGTGCACCCAAGTTTTACCCAATTAGCAGTTGTACTACATTGTACGACACTGTGTCATACTCCCCAAAAAGATCTTCTACGGTGAACTAACAACAGGCAAAAGATCGGCTGGTGGTCAATTCAAGAGATACAAGGATTGCCTTAAAAACCATGAAGCAATGCAACTTCAATGTGAGTAGCTGGGAAGAACATGCCCATGATCGAACGGCATGGAGAAGATTATCACACGAAGGTGCATCAAGCTTCAAAGCCCGTCGCATCAGGGAGGCTGAGCTGAAACGACAGCAACGAAAATCTCGTCAGCTAGATGCTTCCCTACGTGTCCACCCCCACCCCCAACCTAGTGTGTCCAGTGTAGGACCGTAGCTTCCTGGCTAGAATTGGACTTATTAGCCATCTGCGAACACACAACACCAACTAGTATGGAGATGTTGGCTGTCATCTTCGAATTTCGAAGGACGAACTATATATATGACACTGTGTGTATTCACTGAAGAATCAATAAAACCATAAGAGTGCTGGGGCAGTTTCGGGCGCTACAGTGACTAATGGGTTAAAAGTGGTCGAAATCTCCTCTGGAAGCACAAATAAGTACAGTGGAACTCCGCTATAACGAACGTTGTTGGATCCACAGAAAGTGTTCGTAATAACGATCGTTCGGTATAGCGATTTTGAACCGCCGGTACCCTCTTTGGACCATTAGTGAACTGGCATTTCTAACGAGTGGCTTTCCCTTCTATTCCTTGGGGAAATAATAGCCATATATCGCTCTTCAACATTCAAACACGATGTAACTATGGGTCGTTTGATGTTCGGGAATTAAAAGTGGCCCAAATAGTGTTTAATACAACCGGTAGATTTTTTTGGTTAATCTGTTGACTTTTTTCAACAACAAGGTTTGGCACGTTTTGTACATTAAAACCGGGAGCCAAGGATGATGTTCAGTATAGCCGATTGTTTGGTATACATGTAGCCTTGTTCGTTATAGTGGCGTTCCACTGTACAACCTGGTTTTAACTGGTGCGGTGATGATCCGCTGCAAAGCACTTTACCATTTTCAGGTACTAATTGAGAAAAATGTTTAATAATCATGATAATAGTAGGATGTAAAATTGCAGTCTGTGATCATTTATGTTAAATGTACACGTATGTGGAATGTGTTGTTAAAGAATGCCTGTAAACCGTTGTTGAGGATGGGAGCTTGACCGGGGGAGAAGGTGTCATCACACTTCGGTAGTGTATAAGAAAAGTTTAAAGGAAAGAACATGTATACGGCTGATTGTCTTGGCATTTCTCAGAGTACCTCTGGATGGGCACAAGAAACTTGAGTGCATTTGCCATAGTGCAAAGAACTGATCGGGTTCTGTAATCCCACACCTGATGTGAGCGTGACAAACACGTAGATACATGTATGCTTCAAATGTAGAACTATGTTTCATGTTTTCAACTGTATCAAATGTTATTATACATAAGTAGTTCTTTTCAAATAATGACAAAGTAACCCTGGCTAGTACGCAAATTTCGTCTGAATGTACACCAACCAATAGCATCTGAATCTATCTATGTAACCACCGAGGGGGAAACTTGTGCATGGAATCTATAGGTCTACCATAGCCTACCTTTTAAAGGCATTATGTAGGATCCTTTGTGTTTCATGCATTTTGTTCGTTTCCAATAATAACACCACTCAAAATCCAAAGAAGAATGCCCAACACCTAACTTGTTTAAGCTTCAGCTCAGTGAATACTACATGTACACTTTGCGAAGAAAAAAAAGCAATGAAAAACGATTTGGTCTATAGCACACTTTACTTCCAAAAATGAGTCAATTGATTGGAAACTGCCTACATTTCTTGATTTCTTCTTAATGACAGCAAGCCAGATGGAGTAATTTTGCGGGGTGTTTAGTACCGGTACGATCTTTCACCCTCCTATGCAAACATACATTCTGTGCCAAGATGTCCTTTCAGTCAAAATCAATCAAGCGACTGTTTTCAACAGTTGAGAGCTCCCAGCCTACATAAAGCAGGATGTTTTGAGTATATTTAAACACAGATTAATCCAGTTGACTATTTTTGACTACCCTGGACAGCATAGCTTTGTGAAATGTGAATAAATTGATAAGAAAAAAGAGCGCGCTATAGCGTCAAAAGAAGGCAAGCCCCCCCCCCCCCCCAGGATTTAGCAGGATTTACTGGCTGTGACTGTTTATAATGTAACTTTGTACAGCTATGCTTGGACTGTAGGTGATTGATAAGCCAGCTGTGCCCACCACTTGCCTGCTTTTGTCTGTTGACTGAATTTGACTAGTCACAGTGCTCGCTTTCAATATGACCTGACTGTTGGTAACTAGCCTGTGTAAAAGGCATGGCAGGGAAGAGGATTGATTTTTTTTTGACTGTCTTTGACTGTTCAGATAGCAGGAGGGTTAATCGAAGTAAGCTCTTTGATAATAAATGCAAATGATCCTTTATATGCCTTTAACTCTTTAACCTTGACTGTCCAAGTCACAAAATGGAACCATACATGGAAGTTCTACAAACTTTCCATACCAGTATACCAAACCAAAAGCACTAGTAGGCAATGTCCTGCTGGCACACAAACATGCAGTTTACATCGTACATGTTTGTATTTTGATACTGCAGATGTTATGCCAATCTCTAATGAAGATTACGCTGAACGTTTCAAGACATCTTGAAATGATCACTTCTGCAAAAAGCTATCTCTGACAGTGAAACGAAATTCTCTGGGGGGAAAAAAAGCAAACCCTTTTTTCTCACTTTTGGACTCGAGAGCACTTCTCATAAGGTTAATGCCCGCCACGGGGGACTAATGGAAGCTTTGGGCACTGACTTCCGCATGGACAATATGGCCGCCGGCAGTCAAAAGCTCTTCACATAGTGAAGATGTCCAGTGTGCCACACTTTGGTAAAACCTCAGCTCCCACAGGGCACATCCACGTTGGATTAACTTACATAACCGTGGCAACCAGCTCCAAGAAAGTCAATACAACATCCGATTAAAAGAACTACGGTGGATGTGTTTTTGTTCTGAAGGAAGGAGATGTAATAATTTTTGTTTTAATTTCATTTTGTTAACCAGGGTAGCCCCATCAGATTTCAAAGAACTGTTCTTCCTCGGAGCCTTGGAAAAATAAATTCTCATTACTGTAGGCATGGCATAAGACACTAAGATAACAGCTTAAACTCTACACAATCTGAACTGAAATAATTTGTCATCAAGACAGGATCAATTGTTTTTCCGTTTCTCAATTCCACATGTAGATCTCAGGGGCGGATCCAGGCTTTTCCACAAAGGGGGGTGTGTGAAATGTAACATGCAGCAAATGGTGAAGGGAAGTTGGGAAAATTTGACATTTTGTATTTTAGATGATCAGTGGTGCGATCTCAGGCAATATCTGGCCACTTTAACCATTGTTTTTTTTTAGCAAAAGATCATCAAATAAACATCGATTTCGAGTTTGGAGTCATTGAATCAGCTATCCAGACCCCAAATAATAATGGTTCTCTTATGTGCAACTGCTGTAATCCTAGCAGGCTATGGTCTGACGTGAACTGCCCTATTCAGTTTGTCTCTCCCTCCAGGGTGGCCACCCTGGATCCACCCCTGGATCTTTCACAAATCAGTCATGGTTAATTTCCACCCAAACAATAATTTCAAACTAGTCATGGAAGTGAGAAACATTGCATGGGATGAATTTATACCCTGTATTACCGATCCCTTTTGTAGCTGTAAAGTTTCGTAAAACTCTGAATATTGAAAAAAACAATTTTGACACTCTGCACCTCAATTGCTTCTAAAAAAAAATAAAAAAAAATATCATACCTCCGTTGATTTTAAAGTTGATTTAGAACTTGACTTGCTGATTTACATCTACTTGGACTGGTCAATTGGGAATTCTGAAACTGTTGATGATAACCCTACACTTCTCTCGTTAGAGGGTTGACGAACTCTGAAGTGGATTTTTTTTTAACAAAGAAAAACTCTGTAGAGTCTTACAACCTGTTTGCCAGCCATAGATGTCATTAATTTGCGTTAGATGGCCAGATCACATCAGGCAACTTCGTTTTCAAAAGATTTGCACTCTAGAATTACTGTGCTATTTGCAGGTTCTGTAAAATGCCATTTTTTTCCATGTGCATGTACATTCACCTGCCTCACTTAAAATTATCACCCTCTTTGATTTTTTCCCATATGATACACAAATGAATTTCCAGAGTGGATCAACATGTTACTGCAAATCATTGCTGTACGACATTGTATACAGTAGAAAAGGGATGTGTGTTTGCGTAGGTTGATTGCCACAATTAAAGCAGGTGAGGGGGGCCAAGCCGCCTACCCCACGAAGCACCTGTATACACAACTTAAATAGTGCACAAAAACACTGGTAGCTGACTGTCAATGTTTGTTGTTTATTTGATGAATACCTTGATTAGCTTGAAATATTCACTAATATACCCAAATCTTTCAACATAAACCCAATACTCACGATGATTTTAAGAGTCATTCTGCCAATTTTAGCAGAGCGCAGCCGGAAATGTCATTTGATGTACATTTGTAGTTGACGTGGCGCGTAAATGATTTCCATGACAGGATGTACGTACGTCTGTGCACTTCGTGCTAAAAATTAGCATGCTTGACCATGAAACAGACATACAGGGAAAACAAGTTGTTTATAAGCAAAGGTGAAGAATGATGGATACAGTTTGAAAGTAATGTAGACTTTTTAAGCTCTGGCAGGAGCTTCAACAAGTTACTCTGTTGTCGGTCGGTCACCGAAAAATTTCACAAAAAATTTCACAAAAATCGAGCAAATGCCATGCCGTCGTGTAAATGCACTCTAAAAATTATTTGTAACAATTCGCAAAGT